CTTGCAGCTCCGCTCTCTTCCTTCTGATGCTTCTGAAATCATCGTAGTAGGGTTTTAACAGCAATTATCCCCTTTGTGTTGCACAGAGAAGGAGGGGATAACACTGAATTCCTGGAGGTGGGGTTAATTCATGAAGCGTGTGCCTATGACCTACCAGTACTGTGCAGTGATTACAGCTCCCAGTGCATCCTAAACAAAGCTACAACAGATATAAATAAATTGTCAGACTAAGGCCATGCAGCCTATAACCATCACCGCTTCCTTGCCCTGGCAAAATAAAAGGAGAGAGAAATAGAACAGGTAAAGACATTACAGAGAGCACAACAGCATAAAATATGTCCTTTTATGTGTCCGAAGAGCAGTGGTTACTTACAGTGAGAATGACCAGATCAAAAATAAAAGTCGGGGGGAACTTTGCTATCACCAGTTTTAGAAGGTTCGGCCTCAGGAATTAATTTACTTCATGCTTTTTCTGGTTTAATAGCTACCTAGACTAACAGAAGTGGCTTCAGGAAACATCAGAGTAACTTGCCTTATAGTATTCTCTATGTCCCCTGAAAATAAAAGACAGTAAAATAAAGAGCAGTCAGGCAATCCTCCATTGTCTAGCATATGCTCTGTTACTACTGCTTTGCCATATTTTCGGAGTTGATTAATATTTGATCACTGAAGTCATATGTAGATGCCTTGGAGAGTGGCTTGGCTTTGACTGCTGCTTCAGCTTCCATGACTTTCCAAGTGTGCAGAGTTTCCATATGGAGTGTTGTTTCCCTAAGTCTGAAACCAAACCTTTCATGTAGGTCCCTGAGTACAGATTTACATTAATTTGAAAATTCTGACCTCTGCTTTCTGAATATCTATGTCTTTATTTATGACTAGGTTCAGTTATAATCCAGTTTTCAATTACTTTGTCAGCCATAAACTGCCTACCTTTATTGAATTTCGACTCAATATAATTTATTTTTCATCTCGTATTCTGGGCTGCTGGTTATTTATTTGCCTGTGTGCTTTATCTTACTTCGCTCCCGTAAAAGAGTCTCAGCGATGGCACTCGCGGCTCAGCTGGCAGTAAGGAGGGTGCAGTGCCATTCATGAATGGACCCTGGCTGTGAGAAAGAGGGAAGCATCAGGAGAAAGCAAGCTGCACTCAGTGGCAAGAAATAGATTCATATCTACACAAAGACACTTCTTATTTCAGGATCACTCCGATAGTCTGTTGTGTACACACTTTGGGTGTTTGATACTCAATATGTCATTGAGTATCAAATAAACTTCAAAAAAAGCTGTTGCTAGCTATGAGCAGCAGTCCTTTGCATGGACCAGTAAGCTGACACCCAGAGCAACATATGTCAGGAGCACATATGGTCTCCTATCTGCACCAGATTTTATTCACTCACAAACACTTGCAAAGGGGCATGTTGGTAAAACCTCCCCTCCCTGTGCCCTCCTCCTCTTACAAATCTGGTAGTTTTGTTCATCACTTCTTCCTGTAAATCTGTCTTGAGACACATGAACAACTGTAATGGTCCTGCGACATAAAGCAGACAGGTTCTTTGAAACAAAAAAATTAATAATATTTTATTCCCCAGCATTTATTCATGAGGAGAACAAAAGGTTGACTGCTCGGCAATTTAAGTTAAAGCTATCTTTTGAGCTAAAAACCCCCAAACATTCAAATATGTATATAGGTTCAATTGTTCTTTCAAACAATAACTATGTTCTTAAAATGAAACTGGTTTTAGACTCCAAGAAAGTTATAACTAAATTACAATTTTTGAATAAAAACATTTATAAAGCAAAAACTGAGAAAACTTCAGTGATAAATTTCTTTTCTAATGTCTTTATCACATTCCTACAGTATTACTTACAGGTGTCTAGGAATATAAACCACTCTTTTGCACAGCTATATTACAGCTATCAGTCTTTTCTTGTGCTTAAAATAGGGCTGTTTCCATATGTTGTGCTGTAGCACCTTAGGATGTCTCTGCCTGAACTATACCTATGTCTTTATAGATTATGTTAGTGTCATATATATTGGAACCAGAATTAATGATGTGATTGGGATGCAAAACTGGATGTGCGCAGGAAGAGTTGAGGTTGCAATCCTGGAGTAGGGCTGGATGGGGAAAAAGCAGCAGCTATGGGTTCTGCTTGTTTTTTCTCACACAAAGACGATACAAACCGAACTTCTGCAGAAGCTGGCATTTTTGGTTCCTCTCGTAGTGCAGGTGCACGAATTGGCACTTTCTTCTAAGCCACATCTAAAGAAAAATCTTGGCTCATCATGAATATGCCAAATTATTAAATTTGATAATAGGCTTGAAATATGCATAACGACTAACTCCCACCTAAGCATATGTAAAAGGCCATCGCATTCTAGCACCAGCCTTGATTTTGCCACAACAGGCACTGCAGAACAAAGCAAGTGGTCCCATTCCCATGCACCTTAAAGAAAATTAAGAAAATTCTGCATGTAGGCTCTGGAGCTGAAGGTGCTCACTGTTGTGCACGGGAAAGGCCCTTGTGTGTGTGTGTGTGTGTGCACAGTGTGGCAAACACGCCATATCCAGATGTGGGTGAAGCGTGACGAAGGTGCTGAATGAAGAATGGATGACCTTCCTCCTTACCGTTCATTTGCCGTGTGATGCTGCATGGCTTCCCACCTTGGAAGGCTTGACTTCCTTGAAAAGGAAGGAAAGGTGGTGAAAAACAGGTGGTTAACAATACCAAATGATTGAAAGATTGATTAGGCAGAAAATGCTTCAATGACTACGTATCTCAGATGAAGGGGAAGCAGTGGGGGAGTTTGATAAGACTTGCTTATGGAGGAGACAAGCTGAAGCTTGTCAGATAAACTCCACGCAGGCAGAGCACGACTTGCCTGTGCTACCTGAAAGGCGATGTAAGAAGAGCTATTGTTGACTTGTTGCAGCTTGCAAGGACCACGCAGAATTGCAATTGGCTGTAACTGGATTTTCCAGGGGGACTGCAAGGACAGGGGTAAGCTGGGTAGCTGTGGACATGAAGGAAAGTATCAGGCCACAGCACTGGCCACTTGCTAAATTTCCTCCGTTGTCCAGCCGTGATGAGTGAAAACCGAGGGTGATTCCCTTCAGTTTTGTGAAGAATTGCTGAAAATTTAACAAATGGCCTGTCTTTTAATCTCCAGTACATGTAGATGACATCCTCATCTACCAATAACTAGATGCTCTACTGCTATACTGCAGTTTCTGGAGGTCACAACCAGTTCTTCCTAGAAGGAAGTTAGTCACAGAGAAGGGACCGGAGGCAAGACTTACGTAATCTGCCTGTCATTTACACAAAATGAAAAGCATCTGAATTAACAAATTAGTATATGAAAACACTTACTCTGTTTGGGGAAAAAAAAAAAAAAAAACGCCATTATAATAAATGAATCTGCTTCCTTCCAACAAATGAGGTTTGTAAGAAGTTTTACCATTGTTAAAGAAAATGTCTTTTAAAGACATCTGCAACTCATACTTTGTGGCCACTTTAAGAGCGTACATTTCTCATTCACTACATGTGGCCACGTTTTATGTTAGGTAGTACCTTTTTTTTTTCTTCTCAGAAAACATTTCTCTTAATTTGAAGAACATGTATATTGCTTTGTTCTTAACCTTGGAACATTTCTCAGACCATTCCAGACCACTTAATTTCCTGTCACGTTTACCTGGTGGGTTTAAATTTCTCATAATATTTACTAGGTCAAAAGAATGGGATGGTTAGTTCTCAGCTACTCTAGCTTCCAAATTAGCTTGTGGAGCTGTGAGCTGTGAGCTGTGTGCACGTTACCGGATGACTAGGACCTTTAGGTCTGCTGAATTGAATTATCACTGTATTTTTTCCATAGACTGCTAATACAAAGCAGGAGGGATTTCATCCCCCCTGCAAGCCAGAAGATGTTTTTCAGTGTCTGCTGATAGTAGCTGTTGCATAACCTGCTTACCAATGATACTGAAGGTTCTCTGAGAATGAAGATAGAATGTTTTGTCCCAACAGTAATGTTTTTATTTTGTTTTGGAGTGCTATGCCAACACCATCCTGTATGAAAGCATTCCCATCAACAGCCTTGTTCCCAATAATACCCAGTATTGTCTGGTATTGTCAAAATATGTTAATTTATGACTTGGTTTACTGCTTTGAAAATTCAGTGTATGACACCATCTGAATGATTAATATGAACTTTTAAACTTAACTGTAGAATTCAGACATGGTATTGGACAATCAAACTTCTCTATCAGCATGTATTCCTTTAAGTTCTTCACTGTTTTTGTGGATTACCCCCCCTCACCAGAATATAGACTTGGACTGACAGGGAGAATTGGAAGAAACATACTGGCCAGATAGATTGCAGGAAATTCTAATATTCCCTTTTATGAGGGTTTTCTGCTCCGTGGGACAGAAAGGCGTTCCATAGTATTATTTGTCATCTTTCCTATGTTTTCTTGCGGGGTCATGAGGGTTGGCAAACTATCAGAGTTTCACTATAGAATCATAGAATTGTCTAGGTTGGAAGGGACCTTTAAGATCATCGAGTCCAACCATCAACCTAACACTGCCAAAACCACCACTAAACCATGATCCTGCTTGTGAAGGATGCTTGTGAGAAGCACTAGCTTCCCCAATCTACCAGCTGGGACTTGAGGTTGCACATAATGGAGCAGGGGTTGTAAACAGTTTGAGTCATCAGCTGGAGAAACTTTCTGCTACCCAGGACAGACCTGTGATAGGGGAATCTATACATAACAGTTGTCCCTCCTTCTGTGCCTGAAGATGCTTTGGGTTTCAGAACCGTTCAGGAGCTTTGACTTCTTGCCCTCCCTGTAAATGCTTATGCAAAAATGTATTCTGTAACACAATTTTCAACATGATAGAAGTGCAATCAAGCTAAGTAAAGGCTCTGGTCACTAGGACCAAAATAATGCTTTGACTGGACAATGTAACTGTAGAAGTTTATGGCATTTCTGTTTGTATTCCAGGTGCGGGGGCTACCTCTGGCATTTCAGCCATTTTTCCAAGTACCTCAGGCACCAGCACTTTCTCACCTTACCAGCATGCTCACAAAGGTAAGAATGCATCCACAGACTTCATTTTGCAGCTGTCTTGAAAATAACATCAATAAAGTGTAACCAAACTGAATTTCATTGCCACTATTTCCAGATTTCTAAAACTGCTATTAAAAAAAAATATCAGAATTAATTTTTATTTCTTGGTTAATCAGCATCACTGTTCTAGTCAGATGGACTTAAAATGGATTTGAACTGTACTCAGAAATGCCAGCAATAAATTTAAATCATTATTTGCAGCCATACAGAAATGGCACTATGCCTTAGCAAAGCTTAGCTTAGACTGGTGAAAATAATTTAATGCACAAATTTGGCCAGTCTGTTATTGAGCTAAGATAAACAGTTCTCCAGCATGATTATTAAGTTCTAAAAATATGTGAACCTGAGAAGACACAACAGGAAAGATGCAGTTGATGAGGTACCAACAATGGTGATCTTCGTGGTATTGTCTGGAAACATGATCATGAGGATCATATTTTCAGAAAAAATAAAGTTTTCATGCATTTTAGCATATCTGTCATTTTCGGTATCCTTTTGTGGCTTTTCAGTTCTAGTCTTTTGCATCCAAGATCAACTAAATGAGTACGCAAAATCCAAGTGCAGAGCAGACCGCAAACTGTTAACTATTCTCTGATCCTGAGTTGCTCCTTTATGAAAATTTTTTTTGTTTATTCCAGCAGATCTTTCAGGACAAGGACATCTGGCTACAGCTCTTATAATTGCAATGTCTACCATCTTCATAATGGCTATTGCCATTGTCCTCATCATCATGTTTTACATTGTGAAAACAAAACCTTCTGCTCAAGGTAATTGTTCAGCACATGAAATTTTAGCTGCAAATGCTATTTTTAGATAGCTTCTGAGAGTAATTGGTGTTATATTTTTATATTCTAGCCTGTTGTAAGAGCCACTCAGTAAAAAATGTCGAAGCTCAGGCTAACACACAGGAAGAGAAGAAAGAAGTGCAAGGTATAAGTTGCTTTAGTTTTGCTTTTCCTGTCCAAGAAAACATTAGGCTTAAATACTCTTAATGCTTTCCTCTTTGTTACAGTTTCTCCTCTGAACTGTATAAAATCAACCTCAGTTTACTAAAGAATTGTGTATAACAGTTTTTGCATTTCCAGAATGTCACTTAATCCTCCGATAGCAATTAAAAAGATAGGAGAGATATTTATGTTTGCAGTAAGTTTGCCAGCAGAGCCAACTCCTGAGACAAAACACTAGTTTGGGAACTCATTGCCAATTTAAATTCCTCTAATTGTTGATCTACAGATAATGTTGTGATATTCTCTGAGAAAGAAGAGTTTGAAAAACTTACAGCAACTCCAGCTAAGGCTGTTAAAAGGTGGGTAAAAAATAAACAATCTTCCAGTTTGACTGAAGTGGGGAAGGGACATGTTTGCCGTTCACCCTGGTACAGAGGAATACGTGAAGAACAAATCAGATGGGTAGGCTGGTAGTTTGCTGCAGCAGGGAGAAGGCTAGATGCCTTAGTAGGCTTTTTCCCTCTGGTTTCTAAGAGAGGATGATGAAAGTTAACAAATAAAGACCTGTGTCCTCCCGACTCGCTCTGTGTCCAGTTCATCAGCTCTCAGGGCTCCATATCTTCTTTTGAGAGGACTATTTCTGGGACCTGAGTGTTGTGCTCACATATGTGCCCTTAGTAAGGTTCCCCTTCACTTTCAGGCAGGAGGGGAAATACCTGCTCTGGGCCTCAGGGAAACTCCTTGTCCATAGCATCATCTGGTTGGCACGGTGGGATAGTTTTCCTCACCTTGTGTCTGCCTGGGAGCCAAACCTGGCTGGGTAACATGATTCAGATGAGCTAAACACTGTCCTGAGTGGAAAATCCCTCTGTAAAAGGATTCTTGCAAGATATGCGCGAGTGTGTAAGTTGTTGGGCATTGTGCATTCAGCCTGGGCAGGTGAGCACAGTTACATTCACAGGATTTCGGAGGAAGGACATTATAAAACATGGAAAACATTTTTATTCCATTACTCTGGGATAGCAAAAAGGAGATGATTGGAGTCAGCCCATGAGAGGCTTCACTAAGATAACCGTATCTTTCAATTTACAGTGAAAACGATGCATCTTCTGAGAATGAACGACTTTTAAGCCGCAGTATGGATAGTGATGAAGAAGCTGCAGTTGACAAGCAAGGGACTCCAGAGAGATGCTTGTTATCTTTAGTACATTTGGCCAGAGATAAATCTTCTACAAGCAATAAATCAACCGGGGTAAGGCTATTTTGAGATTTAAAAATTGTGAGGATTTTTCTGTGTTGGTTTTTTTCCAAGAAAACAATATACAAACTCCAAAAAATCCATTATAGTGCAGACCAATCTAATTTACAAGAGCTGCTCCAGACAAATTTATTGTATAATCTCTTTTGCATAGTGACATATGTGAACATATATACTGTTCAGGGCTCAAAAAACCCAAATTTCATACAAGAGTAATAACTTTGCTTTTTGAGTATTATATTTTATAGTCTAAGAAACAAAAAACAAATAACAGCAACCCTCCCTGTATAGCTAATGGTAATATAACTAACCCCAATGCTACATTTAGCACAGAAAATCCAAGACAGAAAAGTAGTGTAGCAGCTTGGCTGGATTCATACAACAGCATAGTGTCTGAGTACCTTGACCCAGTATCATCAGTATTTCCATGGCGCAGACTTTTCGAAAATACCCGGTGTTGTGCTTGGGTTTTGTGTATAATTTTGAAACGCACGTGTGCTTTGAAGGTCACTCCTGTGCTCTGAAGGACACTGTAAATCCACTGATTGTTTTGCTGTGGAAGGTCTTTGCTTCTTCCTGCTGAGCATGAACTGCTCAGGGCTCTTTATCTCACTTGGAGTATTTCAAGGTATGGTTAAGGCCACACCTCACCCACACAACTTTTTAGTTTACATTAACATGAAACTATCCTTAAAAATAAAGTGTCTGCTGAGATACTTTTTATGTTTCTAGTGCTTTAAAAATAATTTTTAAGTGGTAATACCTAGGACAAAAATCACATCATTAATACCAAACATCATACATCTTTTAAGAATAAAAAGGTTTGAAAATGCATAGTTTTATCAACACAAGATAAATGTTTTTCTAGTTGTAGGCAGTTACGAGCATCTGAAAATAACTTACAACTCCAATGCTCACATTTTAAAATTCTGTTTTCTGAGGTCTCTCTAAATATCCAACTTTATCGTACTTCTGTATGCACTGACTTGAAATTGGATTAAACAAGTTGGGTGTGCATGAAATCAGAACGTTTAATAAGAAGTGGCTTACCTTCTAAAGACTGTTTATAGTAGATATATTCTCCAAAGTGATTTAGATAGAGAGCTTGTAAGCACAGCTGAAGCATGAACTATTTCTTCCAGACTTCTGTTCTAACATAACAGCCTGCTGACAAGGCTGAAGACAAAGTTTTCAGTGGAAACTTTACCAGTACCTAAAGGGGCCTACAGGAGAGACAAAAACTTTACCAGTACCTAAAGGGGGCCTACAGGAGAGATGGGGAGGGATTCTTTATCAGGGAGTGGAGCAATAGGATGAGGTGCAACAGTTTTAAACTGAAAGAGGATCGATATAGATTAGATATCAGGAGGAAATTCTTTACTGTGAAGGTGGTGAGACACTGGAACAGGTTGCCCAGAAACGTTGTGGATGCCCCATCCCTGGAGGTGTCCAAGGCCAGGCTGGATGGGGCTTTGAGCAACCTGCTCTAGTGGAAGGTGTCCCTGCCCATGGCAGGGGGGTTGGTACTTGATGATCTTTAAGGTCCCTTCCAACCTGAACCATTCTGTGATTCTATGCACGTGCAGACTGCATCAAGATCCTCTGCTCCCTACCTAAGGTTTCACAATTAAGCCAGCTGCCAGAAGTTAGAAAAGCAGCAATTTGCTTCAGGCTGGAGGTTAAGCGTGCATCAAGATCCTCTGCTCCATACCTAAGGTTTCACAAGCCAGCTGCCAGAAATTAGAAGAGCAGCAATTTGCTTCAGGCTGGAGGTTAAGTAACACTTTTAGTACAGAAGAGAGTCTTAAGAAGCTGTTGGATGAGGGTAAAGAAAGCTGAACGCCTGCTCTTATCCAAGTCTGCTCCTTCCTTGTTAAAACCAAAACCATTCTACAATGAGCTACCACATGGAGGATCGTCAGGCTCAACTTCACCTGTTTGCTCTCAGCATAAGTTTCAGAAATCCTCCATCTTCTGGCTTGGGGAAAAAGAGTATCCTGTATAATTCTTCGTGGGCATGGAATTATTTAGCCTCCCTCCTTGCCCTAAAAATGAAAGAATGAAAATAAACATCCAATAGTTCGCTTTGAAGGAGTTTTAATAAATCCCATTAAAAGACAATTTCCTGTTTACAAGGTTTTAAAGCAGCTAATCCAAGCCTACAATGGCAACACAACAATTTGTGAATGACAAGCAGTGTCTGCCTGGCACTGCCCGGCGACACAACACACTTGCACGGTGTCTGCGCCTGCGTTCGGGTGGAGCAGCCACTTTGTGGTCTCCAGCTGCAAATCTATTAATCCGAGTCATTGATGTGCCTTGCCCTTTGGAGACCAAATAAAATGAGGAAAATCTTTCCACAAAGCAACATACTGAAAGCAGAGCATTTTTTTTTTTTTTTCAAGCCTGGTTTGCAGTGAAAAGTGGCAAATTTGTGGAGGTAATGCTAAAGTCCTATCAAAAAGACAGCATTTCAGAAGGCTCAGTCCTAATGAGAGCTGGCAGAGGGATGACAATTCCAGCCCCTGAGAACTCATGACATTTTGACATTTGTTTTCCACTCCACATTGAATCCAAAGCCAAACCTTGAGAATATTTTTGCTAAATGAAACTATATAACAATGTCCATTTTCAGCTTGGAAAATGTCAGGTTTTCAATTCTGAGTTTCATTCTTGTCAAAAATGACTAGAGCATCCTGGACCTCGGATTTTCCCTGTCCAAAGCTTAACTAATTTATACCTTTTAAATCTATCTGTAAAATGTTTCAGATTCAACCAGGATGGCTGGAAGAAAATACAGATAATTAGTAATGCATTAAGCAGTTCCAAGTCAAATCACAGAAAGGAATATCCCCTCCTCTACATTCCTCTGAGATTACTGGAAGAAAGCAATTTTAGTCTGAATTTAATTCTCTGTGACCAGTCCTATCCTGGCTTACTTGGACATCCCTGCATTAATTGCCTGCATGCTTGGTGCTGGATTTGTCCTCATTGTCAGGAGTTTGCTTTGGTCTGAAAGAGAAATAAAATATACAGACACTTGGAGCGGAAAAGTAATTGACCAAAAAAAGGACTAGAAGATGGAAAGAAAGGTGTCTAGCTGTGGAAAGTCAAATCCGAAATGGGTTTTGAAATCCGAAATAGGTTAATGCTCCATAGAATAATTGCTGTGTCCTTTTCTATGAGTCTTTAAAAGTGACCCTTGAGGACATTGTGTGATAACCCCTAGTGTCATGAAATGAGGATCTCCCACAGGTTTTCCACTGCTGTCTGCTAATTATTTATTCCCATGACTGAAAAATTAATGACATAAAAATCTTTTCATTTAGATTCAAAGTCGAAGGAAAAAGATACTTGATGTGTATGCTAACGTATGCGACGTTGCAGAAGGTGAGTGTACAAAACTTGCATGTATACTAAAAAATAGCACAAAATGAGATCAAAAGCATTTGCTAAAAAATAAGCAAGGCTTCTGCTCTCCTATGGGAAGGAGAAAGTCCCAATCCAGAAAAGACACTCTGTAGGCAGATTTGTACTGACTTGCCAGGAAGCACCGTGGTGCCCTGACCCCAGAGATGTCCAGGCTGGGCTTGGGCTGGAGCACATCATGGCTTTTCTCCAGGTGTGTGCACAGCCCCCTTCCCATGGAGAGCAGGGAAGGTCACCTCAGGTCCTGTTGGGACACGCACAAAGGCCAAGATGTGGAAAACCACCTCACATTCCCCACCTTCAGGAAACCTGTTTGATTTATTTATTTAGTCCCATGGATAACAGAGAAATTAGTTCCAAATATGGGAGTGTGATGTGGGGAGGGTCCGGATTTTATTTCAGACACAAGTCTCAATCTACTTTGCTTCTCTAAATGTCCCACTTCTCATAAAGAAAAACTGGAGTTTCCAAGTAAAACGGTGTTTTCAGTGTTTTAACCCTCTTTACCACTTGACTATCTGGACTGTTTGGGCAGAAGAGACATGAATTAATTTCCCTGCAGAAAAGAAGACATGACTGCATTTACTCCACACACAAGTACGCTTTGTGTGTATATGTGTGTGTGTGTTCTCTTGAGTTTTCTGTGGTTCAGGGAGCTCTGTCTCCCACCAAATTACTCCTCTTCAGTATGAAGCAGGAAAACTACAGAAGAGAAAGTCTGGTTTTGGAAAAAATGTTGTAGTTGATTCTCTCCCCTATTCTATGACCATGAATACTGAGAAAAAATGTGCAGGAAAAAAATAGCTTTTTCCCCACAGGATGAATGTTAAATCCTCTCTAGAGATTCAGTGATAGTAATGACAATCGAGCGCTTGCAGGGACTTTTATGCTCGCAAGCATCTGGCATCGTTGCTTCACCTCACTCCTCACATTCCTACAAGGGCAACTTTCAATTACAGAGATGTTACAGCAGCTGCTGGTGACAGACTCAGGGAAGGGTCAGAGCTGTCTCTCGAGCTCAAACACTGTGCCTGACGTGCAGAGGTGTATTAATGGAGCTGCTCACTAGGGATATGGTTGCAATATACTTTTTCTAACAGCTAGTAAATTGTTGAAGGAGGGGGCAGTGCCATGGGAATTTATACAACCCGACTAATACTTCTTTCCCACACAACTTTTTACCCTAATTATTGTACCTTGCTGTCACTAGGAAGAATTAATTTGGTAATATACAGTAAAAACGTTGGATCTAGACATGGACTGTCACTTAAAGTTTTTAGCCGTACTTATGCTAACAGTATATACTGTAGTAGTTTAATAAATATCTTGGATAGTCAAGGCTCGTGCACAGACCTATCTGACAATAAACATCTGACTTTGCAGGCCTGAGCCCTACGGAGCTGCCATTTGATTGCCTGGAGAAGACCAGCCGAATGCTCAGCTCGACCTACAACACAGAAAAAGCCATAGTGAAAACGTGGCGCCACCTTGCCGAGAGCTTTGGACTGAAGAGAGACGAGATAGGTGGCATGACAGATGGCATGCAGCTCTTCGATCGCATCAGCACGGCAGGCTACAGCATCCCAGAACTGCTCACCAAACTGGTGCAAATCGAGCGGCTGGATGCTGTCGAGTCCTTGTGCGCGGATATTCTGGAGTGGGCACAAGCAATGCCTGCTCCTGAGCCGGCAGGGACATCCTGACACGCCTGCCGGGGACCCACGCTTCCACGTCACCTGCAAGAACCATGACTCCAGCAAGCACCGCCTCAAAGACTCTGGACAAAAGACCATTGACAGTTCTTTTACAAAATTGCTCCTGATGATAACCAACTGGAAGCTATTCTCTTTGACTTCTGAAAAAAGTGAAGTTACATATCGACCAAAACAAGGGCAGAAATCTGCCAAGAAGCTTGGTGTGAGACGTGTCCTTAAACAAAAGGAACATGTTTAACAGCTATTGATAATAAGTGGATACACAAACATCCATTTTTCAGTCTGTGTATGAGTATATGTGCACATAACCCTGCTGACACCCTTCCTGCCTGGCCTTCAAGGAAAGCCATTGAATTGCTCTCCGAAAATATTCCTGTTTCTTAGGGCTTGGTTCACAGGTTTCATAGTTACAGTCAAAAAAAAAAAAGCAGTACCACAGCTACAGAATCAATCAATACACAAGGCACGCACATTTCCGTCGACATTAACACATTTAGTATGTAACCAGTTTAATTGTCTATACTTACTATGGGTTTGTTGAATCTAGAAGTGCATAGGTGTATATACATAGTCCTCACATTAACTGACTATACTACATGAAAAAAGAGTCAACATAATTTACAGATTGAAGTGCTTTGAAACACTGTACATAACTCACATAAATGCACTCTTGCTCCATACAGAGGAATTTCAAACAACAGTGGCGCACATTTGACACTAAAAGCAAAAAGAGTAGATTCCTTTAGAGACACTTGAAATGCAGAGAAAAAAGTGCTTTTTAAATGCTGTACTCTTGTAAAGGTAGACCACGAGCACATAATCCACAGGTGAAACCCAACTCCTCTGTAAGGTAAAGTCTTAGTGTGAGTTTGTGTACAGCAAAAATTGACCTTATTTTTTTCCTGTTAACTAATCTCTGATTTTCATGGTTAAAGGTTCTCTAAAACTTGTTCAGACCACAAATCAGTAGTTGTTACCAAACCTATTTGCTTAATTTATAGCTAAAATGAGTGATGACAGATTTCAACAAGTGCAATCACTAAATTGAGATGTCAGTTACAAAACAATACTTTTAATTCCAAAATGCGTGACTGAACAAAATGCTATAAAAAATATTAACTATTACCCTGAAGTTAAAAACCAATATTCCGTCACGTAGTAACTAGATCTTATCTATGATAGTATCATAATTTGCAGAACATTTAGTATCACCCTTTAATATCTATATTTAGTATCTATTCAGCACTTGATTTGTGTAGCAGAGGAAGTACATACTGCAACATAAAACCTATCCTTCTCATCATTCTTCTTCCACCATTTCTTTTGTATCATAACACACTCTTCATTAATTTGCATATGCCAAATTTGATGACAATTTTGAGTTTTCTTTTAATGAAGCAGCAAGATGCATTTATTTGAACATTTAACTAGCTAATTGATGTTAAATTTAGGGGTGAAATTCTTGCTGTCTTGAAATCAATGACAAATTCATATGGATTTCAACAGGCTTCGATAAGATTTCTAGATCTGCTGACAACTCAGCAACCTTCAACAAGATTTTCAAGACCCTGAATTTGCAGTTTAGTACTATTGCTACTAGAATAGAAAAAGGAAAGGGAAAAAAAAAAAAAGAAAAAAGAAAACGGGAAGATTCTGTTTCTCTTGTGCCAGGGTGTAGCTGCAGTATTATTCAGTGGACTGCCTCCTATATATCATGTGTCATTTAATAGTATACAACATTTATTTGCTTAAAAGAAGATACAGGAATCTTCTTTTTTATGCTTATTGGGCCATGAAAAGCTAGGGTCTTGAAATCAACAGTGCCAACGTGAACACAGACTATTTAACATTATTTTATTTAGTATACAGTATTTTTATTGTTACACAAAAGATGTACAGGAATGAAAAAAATTCCTGTAGATCTTGCCAAATCTTACTTTCTAATAATTTTGTTTAATGCTGTATATATAACTTATTATATTGTAAAATATGAACATAAAATATGCTAATAAAAGAAAGAGGTCAAACACAGTTGTGTTAGCCATTTCTTTATTAAATCATGTATTGCCTTATAAAGCTGTAATTAAATGAGTTAGCCAAGGGCTGGTAGGCACATTCCTGCGGTATGGGAGTGTCTAGGTAACATACATGAAGGAATCTTTGCATTCCCGTAGGATACTTCTCTGCATCACACCACAGAAACCTTTGAAGCAGAATCCATTCTTCTCTCTGCATCACACTACAGAAACCTTTGAAGCAGAATCCATTCTTCCTTTGTCAATATAGTTTTGGTTCAATATTCCACCTCGTAGGTACTATGGAAATGCCAAACTCCTAGAACTCCTTGGAGAAACTGTTAAGTTGTTATATGTGTACTGAGAGCTGGTACAGGCTGTGAGGCTGGTGAGTAATCTCACAGTAGCAATGCTCTCTCATTAACGTGTTTTCATTTTGCGTTCCTAAATTAGCAGTACTACACCACATTATCAGAGATCTTAAGAGGAAGCTTTCACTGCGTGACGGGATAATTATGTTTATCCAGTCTTAGGCTGCACTGGTGAGACCGCCAGCAGAACTGCTAGCTTCTACAAAAAACAAAGCACCCAAGTCGCATTTTCCCCAGACCCTGGTAGCTAAATTAAGACTTTTGGAGTATTTCGTACAGATCAAAAATTTTCTAAATGGAAGAAACACTGCCCTACTTTACTTTATAAGTAGTTTGGGATTTTGTTTATTCCCATTCATTTGTTGGTTTCAGCGTGATGAATACGTTCTCTTTCCATCAAATGATTAAAGGAGAGAAAGGCTCCAGAAACAGCAACAAAAGCTCTGAGGTTGCCAGATGGTTGGGATGTTCTGAGTTTCACTTTACTGTCTTTTGACTCCCTGCACTGTATGGGCAGGAGCTAACATGGCATGAAGCACACTCCAACAGGCGTTGCTACATCTAAGTATGTTGCTGCCTGAAAGGCCTGAGCATTCTCTGCTTTCATGTGCTTACGGGTAGCAAGCCAAAGGAGGAACTTTGACTTCCTAGGTTTAACTTGACAAAGCACAAGTTCAGATCTGCACAAAATACCCGTGTCCTTCCATTGTGCAAAATAATGAAACAAAACACAGAAACATAAACACTAGACCACCTGAGAGCTTCTGTGGGATGTCGTCTTTGTTTCAATTTTTTCTCCTTTTTTTTTTTTCCCAATTTTTCATTTGTGTACAGTGCTTCCACCACAGTGGGACGTACCTGTGCAAACACAGGTGTCTGAAGTGAGATTCATCTTGTGCTAAAGCAGACATCTAAAATAACCAAGATGAGTTGCATCCTCAAGCTATATGCTATAGTGTCTCTAGACTACAAAGAGAACCCGGCGTGACAAGCTTTGATGTAAACACTTATTCTACAGTTGTCAAAGGTTAGATGAGTTGTATCTTACCAGGAAACCAATGAATTTCAGGAGTATGACTATATTTCAGGTCAGTAACATCTCTGAAAGAGCTGTAACCAGCAAGTGCAGAATGAAGATGAACATGAAACTATTATAAATTATGTTAGATGTTTTGGGGAATTATTGGATCAGATGAATGCTTAAAGTGTATTTAAGGTTCATTTCTCTGGCATTGTGTAATAATATCAGTATTTACAGCAACTTTGGCTTGTAGAAGATTACAGTAATGATTGACTCTGCTATCCTAAATATGGCAAGAAATTTGCAACAAGAATTTAAACAGGTGTTTTCAAATTGTCATGTAAGAACGTTAAAGATTTTATCCTGTTACAGTGGCTTCAGCCCAGATTTCTTACCACACAGTCCTAAACCAAACTCACTTCAACAGTCCAAACTCTGAAGAAAACATGACCACCCTTGCTTATAAGTGGCTCTTAACTTCTCCAGCAAGCAGTTGATCAACTACAGACTGACTTCTTCGGAGCAAAATATCAATCCTGCTTTTGGTGTGGAAAGCCCAATTTATATTTTTGCATTTAGAAAAGATTTTTTCTTCAGCTCCTGACAGCACTTCTTTAAGAAACTCTCATTATCTTGTTCTGAGCTTTTTAACCTGATGCTGAAAGACAAGACTGAACAGGGGAAAAATGGCTACTTATATTAGCATATGTGCTCAGGCACAGTAATTTTAACTTGACTAACTCATAAAATGTCTTTACACAGCTACAGATCTGCTTTGATCATCCCTGGAAGTTTGTTGACTTACTCATCACAACAAATGCTACACAATCTAGGTGTGTCCTAGAGATTAAAAAAAAAAAAAAGATAACAGAAAAATATCACAGTTACATTACAACATTATATTCCTTTAAAAGGCTGCCTTTTCACAGTGGAGGGGAAAGGCTACTCTTTTAACTTGTCCTGGTTGATTGCCACATTGTGCCTTCTTTTAGAGCAAAGAAGCACACCAGCAGCAAGAGGGACTTCAAGAAGGCAAGGTGGGAAAGGCTGGGGGGCAAAGTGAGAAAGCAGAGACTCTGCATCACAGCAGGGAATGGGAGACCACCAGTAAAGGCAGGGGCAGGTACAGGATGAGGCCTCAAATAGTGCCATGTAAATTAGATGAATGTTTATGGAAGTTAGATGAGACATGCAGAATTTGCTGCAGAGTTGGAATAGAATTTGAGACCCACACCCTAAGGAAACGAACAGGTCAGGGAGAAAATTATCTACAAGATCATTTATTTCCTTTTTGATGTGCCTTTTTTTTTGTTTTCCTTAAAAGAAATTGTTCTTCTTGATACTTCTTTATACTCTGATAAAACCCAGCTTTCAAGTTGAAAAGACCCTTTAAGTCCTAGGAAATGCTTACTTAAAATTAAAGGCTTCAGAGATTCAGACAAAGCTGTGGTCACCTCAAGGTTTTGCTGCAAGGACTTCTACAGCCCATGTCATGGACATTGTAAAAATAGCATTAGGGCTTTTCTCTTTTGTTTTATATCAGCAGACCCTATTAGAGAGAGCACTTAACTGTATGTCTACAGATAAACCTACTCCCAACCCTGTCACTAGCCTTCTGGGTGACTGTGGAAAGTTCCTCCCAGGCAAGATTAACACTTACTACCTTGCAAGACCTTATAGGTCTTAATCCCAGTTTCCTAGCCTTACCAGTATCATCCCAGTTTTTCCTTATAGAAACTCACCAGACTTTGTAGACTCTCTCTAATCTTAGGTTGCAGTCAGGAACTGCCCTCTACATAGTGTTTGATATCTGATGGTCCTGGTCCGATGAGATTAATAAAAAGAAATGACAGAGGTAAGGGGGGCTGAAAAGGACGGGTGTTTGCTTTGCATCATGGGACAACAACAGCTGGCTGCCTCCAAATTCTTCATCATTAATCCATTATCCATGAACAAAAAGATAATGTGCATAAATACCCAGCAGTATGGGTTGGAGTTTAATTTGTCCCCGTTGAACTCAAAGCCTCATACAATTTAGAAGTCCTGCTTTGTTATAAAGAGGGTGCATTTGAGAGGTGGGAAAAAATCTTACTGTAGCAGGTGAAAATCATGACCCAGAGGTAAGCCAATGAATCCTGCATTCAGAAGTCATTCTTCTGCAAACAACCTCTATACTCCTCCATGATAATGAAAAGCAAAGAGAGCTCATGCTCTTATTATGTATTGGATAGGTTTCCTGGTGCATATTCCAGTAAATATATTAATATAAACAGGGTAAGACTGTACTGTCTGTCTATATCTAGTTCCAGACACATAATATTGCATATGTAGTCTATTTCGCCCACATCCAAATAAGCTCTTATGATTATTTATTGTGATATGATTTATAAGGCATAGCACCTGTTACCTCAGGCATTAATTTATCACTATCAACCACTCGTCAAAGACAGAAAAATGTTGATTCCTTTTTTGCCAGTGTTCTGTGAAACTAGACCATCTGAATACTTATACTATGGAAGACTGATAAGAACCCTTGCATGCTCTGCTGCAGAAGACATCAGTGATTAGCTGTTACACAGGTCACACACAGGCATCTCATTTGTCCATCACCTTTTTTGGAAAAAAAAAAAAAAAGATAATTCATTTTTTTATACTTGGTGAGAGAGGCTGCTTTAAAAAGTAGCTTGTAATAGGATTCGAGTTAGTATCTCAAGACAGTTCAGGAATACATAATGATTTTTCCAATTTAATTCACCACGTAGAAGTAAATGAAAAATGAGGGGGTAACACTGAAGACCGATTAGTAAAAAGGAAGGAAGCAGAGTGAGGCATCTGTTTCTGGAATTTGGCCTTGGTGTGCAAGGCTGCTGTGAAAAAAAATCATAGTCACATTTCAGTGTGGAGAAGGACAAACCAGATGGACATCAAACTGCTACGTTTTGGGAACATGGGCAACAGAGAAATTCTGTTTATTTGCATTTCTTATATAAATAGCTCTTGAATCCACATATTAGAATACTATTTCTTCTGAAGGACAAAAACCAGTCTGGTAACATTAGTTATCTCTGACCTTCTTCAAAGGCATACTACTTTTCCAAAAAGCTGCTGTGTGGGTGGAATACTATGCTCCTGTAGGAACTCTTGTACCATATGATCAATTTTTTTTCCCCCTGTAAGCTGGATAGATTATTTTAA